ATCCCATGGTGCCACACCAGGACTCCTTCAGTAGAGATCTAGAAATAGTTTAAAAAAAAAAAAAAAAGGAAAAGAAAAAGAAAAGTCACTTATCAGATTTGAAAGAGACAAATATCAACTGGTGCCCACTTAGGTCTGATTTTATTCTAGAAGCTTCCCCAAGCCTCTAGTTCTTTTCCCCTGAGTAGACACAAGGCTATGTCGGTTTAGCAGCTCACTGCAATTCCCCTAAATTACAACACAAGGAGGCGCTCGGGGTTTTTCTCCATGTGTCCATGGTGAGGGTCTTTACTGGACTTGGCACACAGCAGATGGTCAATAAATGCCGGTTATCTCTTGTCTGCCTGAAGTGTGCAAACGTCGGAACTTGTCAACCTCAAGGGGAGAGACCAGAGTGGCTCCCGGCTTCTTACTCGGAGATCTGAGAACAGGGGTCTGGACGTCAACCCGCACGACTTCACACCTCCAGGCCCAGGAATAGAAGGAGAATGTTCCCAGCAGGCTTAGCGCGGTGGTGAGGCTGAGGCTTGGCCACACGCTGGCATGGCGCGTTCTGATTGGCGGGCCTGGGGAGGGGGCGGGGGCGGAGGCGGGGCGTGTTCGTGCCGTCGCTGCTTGCCGCCGCTCAGACGGGGCGGTTGAGGCAGGCCCTGCGCCCGGGTTTCGAACATGCTACGCAAACTCACTCTTGACCAGATCAACGATTGGTTCACCATCGGCAAGACCGTGACCGATGTGGAGCTTCTGGGCACCCCGCCTGCCCTGCCTGCCGAGGCGGCCCGGGATGAGGCCTTGCGCTCCGACGCCGCCTCCGGGCCCGTGGCCCAGGCTCCGCTCCGGCCTGTCGTGGCCTTGGGGAGGTAGGAGGCGGCCTTACGGCGGACGGGCCTTGCGGGGCCGGGAGGGGGGCGTCGTGGCTGCCTCGGGGGTCCTGTGGGGGGAACGGAGGCTGCTGTGGGGCCTTTGAGTTGAAAATGATTTTTGTTACCGCCACTGTGGAGAATACGAGGGGGCGACCACGCAATGATAATGCGTTTTCCTAAGAATTGGTTGACCCCCTCCCCCCTCCCCACTGCAGCCCGGTACCGCCTGGGACCCTTTCAGGTGGTCCCAGTGTTGTAGCTGCCCCACCCCGAGGGGCTCCCCACCCGGACCCGCAGTGAGTTTTAAGCGAGCCTTGTTGGGGGGCTCCCTTTGCTCTGCGGTGAGTGCAGTTGTTGAGGCACAGGCAGGCCAGAGGGACGCTCTGCGGCTTCCATAGGGACTGTTGGGGTCGGATCCTTGCCAACTTTACTTCCTGGAGCAAAAAAAACACAAAAAAGCGAATGAAAACCCGGCGGCAGCAGTACATTGACAAGGAGCTGCCGAGGTTCAAGTCGGCTCCGGGTGAGGCCGGGGAACGCGGGACATCATTGCTGACGTCACATGGATCTGGGCTGAAAGCAGAGAATACCAGGAAGATGTTGACCTGTGCTTTATTGAGTACGCAGAGGCTTTCAACTGTGTGGATCCTGACAAGCTATGGACAACATTGTGGAGCGTGCTCATGACGAACCTGTACATAGACAAGAGGTAGTTGTTCAGAAAGAACAAGGAAGGGGACACTTAACATTAGGACGGGTGAGTGCTAGGGGTTTATTCTTTCAACATGCTTATTCAGTCAGAATACTGAGCAAACAACCCGAGACTCGGCATTATATAAAAATGAATGTGGCATCAGGAATGGAGGAAGACTCATTAACAACCTTCAATATGCAGATGATACAACCTTGCTTGCTGAAAGTGAAGAGGACTAAAAATAGTTACTGATAAAGATCAAAGACCACACAGTATGGCTTGCACCTCAATGTAAAGAAAACAAAAGTCCACACCACTGGTCCAATAAATAGCATCCTGATAAATGGAGAAAAGGTTGAAGTTGTCAAAGATTTCATTTTGCTTGGATCCACTATCAAGATTCATGGAAGCAGCAGTTACTGCATTATAAATCTGCTGCACAAGACCTCCTTAAAGTGTTGAAGAGCAAAGATGTCAGTCTGAGGACTGAAGTGCACCTGCCCAAAGTCATGGTATTTTCAGTAGTTTCATATGCATATGAAAGTTGCACACTGAATAAGGAAGACCATGGAAGAATTGATGCATTTGAGTTATGGTATTGGGGAAGAGCATTGAAAGTACCACGGATGGTCAGAAGAACTAACAAATCTGTGTAAGAAGAAGTATAGCCAGAATGCTTCTTAGAAGCCAGGATGGCGAGACTTTCTCTCTTGTTGTTGTTAGGTGCCTTAGAGTCGTTTCCGACTCATAGCGACCTTATTCACAGCAGAACGAAACACTGCCCGATCCTGGGCCAACCTTACTACTGTTGCCACGCTTGAGTCCATTGATGCTGCCACTTGGCCAATCCATCTCTCTGTGGGTCTTCCTCTTTTTCTCTGACCCTGCACCTTACCAAACATGATATCCTTCTCCAGCAACTGGTCCCTCCTGACAATATGTCCAAAGTAGGAGAGACGAAGTTTGGCCATCCTGGCCTCCAAGGAGGACTCTGGCTTCACTTCTTCCAAAATGGATCCATTGGTTCTTTTGGCAGCCCGTGGCACTTTCAGTATTCTCCTCCAACACCATAACTCAAAAGCATCAATTCTTCTATGGTCTTCCTTATTCACTGTTCAGCTTTCACATGCATATGAGGTGATTGAAAATACCATGGCTTGGGTCAGGTGTACCTTAGTCCTCAAGCTGACATCTTTGCTCTTCAACACTTTAAAAAAGTCTTGTGTAGCAGATTTGCCTAATGCAATACGTCGTTTGATATCTTGACTGCTGCTTCCGTGAGTGTTAATAGTTGATCCAAGAAGAATGAAAAGTCCTTGGCAACTTCAATCTTTTCTCCATTGATAAGAATGTTGTTAATTGGTCCAGTGGTGAGGATTTTTGTTTTCTTTACATTGAGATGGACTTTGGATATATTATCAGCAGGAACTAGTCCCTGGAGAAGGACATCATACTGGCTAAGTGGAGGGTCAGCGAAAAAGAGGAAGAACCCTAATGAGATGGATTGGCACAGTGGCAGCTGCAGTGGTCTCAAGCTTAACCATTGTGAGGGTGATGCAGGGTCAGGATGTGTTTCGTCCTGTTGTTCATAAGGTTGTTGGAAATCTGAATGGACACTACAGCACCTAACAACAACTTCCTCCGTTGTTGTTAAGTGCCGTTGAGTTCGTTCTGATCCATAGCGACTTTGTATAGGGTTTCTGAGGAGCCCCTGGTTAGCTTGAACCACTGACCTTGAGGTTCATACCAACCTTGCAACCCAGTGCATTAACCCACAGTGCCACACCAGGGTTCCAACTTCCTCTAGCGATTCTGATAAATAATCCTGTAGGTTACCACCACAACTTATTGCCACAAAAATCTCCCTTGAATTAACTGGCAAAGAGCATTTTTTTCAAATAATCTTTTGTGATATTAGAAGTAAATTATTATTGGCCTGGTCCAAAGCCAATATCACAGATTTCAGTGATATTTGAACTACTATGGTCCAGGCTTCTTAAGTTCCAGTCCTTATAGGCTGAACTCAAATATAATTTCTCAGAGAAATTAAATTTAAAAAACCCCCACAAAACAAAATACAAGTACCATTGACATTATTAGATTGGACATATGTACAATTACTGTAAAGTTTCAAATTTTGTACTTTCCTGGTGACAGACTGGCAAACTGTTGATCTATGAACCATGCTGTGAATAGTGTTGGCTTAGATGGCAGTTTCAAAGACGTCATTTTGCTCGGATCCATTATCAGCACTCATGGAAGCAGCAGTCAAGAAATCAAATGACAGATTGCATTGGGCAAATCTGCTTCACAAGACCTCTTTAAAGTGTTACAGAGCAAAGATGCTAGTTTGAGAACTCACTGTGGTATTTTCAGTAGTCTCGTATGCATGTGAGAATTGGACAGAGAATAAGGAAGATTGTAGAAGAACCAATGTGTATGAATTATGGTATTGGAGGAGAATATTCAAAGTACCGTGGACTTCCAGAAGAACAAACAAATCTTGTGTTGGAAGAAGTACAGCCAGAATGCTCCTTTAAAGACAGGATGCTGAAACATCTCATACTTCAGACATGTTATTATGAGGGACCAGTCTCTGCAGAAGTAAGTACATCACTGACTATGCAAAGACTTTTGATTGTGTGTATCATGACAAACCGTGGACAACATTGCGGATTCTGGAACACTTAACTGTACCCATGAGGAACCTATGTATAGCTCAAGAGGCAATTGTTAGAACAAGGGGATACTGAATGGTTTAAAATCAGGAAATGTGTATGTCAGGGTTGTATTCTTTCACCATACTTATTCAGTCTGTATGCTGAGCAAATAATCATACCAGGGTAAGTGAACACGTTTACTACACATTTATAGAAACCTTTACTTAACAAAAATATCAAAATGTAAAGTTATTGTTTGTGGACATATCCTTCATCTAGGTCTATATACTTTTTAATTTTGTTAAATGTTTTATTGTGTATTGAGTGATAGTTTACGTGGGGGAACATTAGTTTTACATTCATTCTATCCTACATCGTTTCATTGCCTTAGTTACCATCCCGTCCATGCATCATCCCCCAACGAAAGGGTATACCTTGCATGTCCCATCTCCCCCACCCCCCAACGGTCCTCAGCACCTAGCCCCTTTCCCTCTCTGGGTCTCAACTCCCCAGGTACTCCATCTCTTCATGTCGTCCTCTCTGTCTTCATCTCAGGCCTCACTGCTTCTCTGGGTGGGGTCCTGCTCTCCACTCTTCTCCATTGATGGTCCCAGGGCCCTCTGCTCCTAGACTGAAAGGTTAGTCACTCCCCTCCTTGCTATATAATATCCGCCTTCACATTTCCAGTCCTTAAAATCAGTCCTGCTAACAATTTTCACCATTGCATCACATGAGACCCATCTGCATTTCTTTTCATCAGCCCTTCCTAGACAGATTGGGTACTATTCACTGGAGACTCCACTATCCTCCCCGCCCTGTGGATCTAGGTTCCCTCTTGAAAGCTTGTAAGCCAGTCACTTCTTACCTTTGCATCCCTCCCCCCATTTTAGGTAGCCAGTGTTCAAGTTGCCCATCCCTTTACACTCTTTGTGTGAAGGGGGTGGGGATAATTCTTGTAGCTGGGAATTGTTTCCCCTTTTGAGTTACTGCAGTTATAGGTCTAGGTCCAGTTCATCAAGTTGCATCAGATGACACTTTTTTTTTTTTTTTTTCCCTCTTCTTTCTTCGTCTGGTTGAGTTCTGTTCATCCAGTCATTGAAGCCAGGTCAAGTGTAGGTCTATACACTTTTGAAGGCGGGGTTTCCATCTCTGTAACTTTTCCCTGTAGAAGTCTGTGCTCTTTGATTCACACATCAAAACAATTATTTTGATATTCTTGAGGGAACTCAAATTGTGTTCCTTGAGCTTGGGGAACAAAGAGGAGTCTGAAGTGACAAGATCAGGGATGTCTGGTGGATGAAGTAAGATTTCCCAACAAAATTTTCAGTTTTCTTAAAACTTCTTCCTAATAAGCTCTTGTAATCATCCTATGTCCTTTGAGAAAACCTCAAGATGACTCTTGTGGAATGCCCCCTGAAAAAACAGTTGCCACTGAGCTGGCCTCTCTGCCTTGAATATAACTGGCTCTGCAGAACCCCTTGGAAGCTACTGATTTAATGGGATGTTCTTTAGAAGGTATCCTAAGAAGACTAAGACAAGTATATTCATGAAATAACTTCTTTGAAGCTATCTATTGATCACAGAAACATGTTTAAACACATTTTGTTTGGAATAAACCCATGCTTGTATGAACTGGAACCCTAGTAGCAATACTTTCTAACTTACTATTGTGTATTTGGATGTGCATATAGAAGTACTTCAAAAAGTTCATGGGAAAATGGAATTAAAAGATGAATATTCCATAAACTTTTTTAAGCTATCAATATATGGAAGTACATGTGTCTTGGAGCACATTACTTCAGGGTATATAGCTACTTTGTTATTTTCAACAGCTGCTGAGGACTTCATAATATTGAAGATAATTTGCTTTTGTCATTTCTATCATATAACAGTCCCCCAATTCTGACAGTTACCATGTTGTTGGTAAGTGCTGTCAAGTTTGTTCTGACCCATAGAGATCCTGTATAGGGTTTCTGAGGAACTCTGGGGGGTTTGAACCATTGACCTTGTAGTTAGTAGTCCAGTGCTTATCCTAAAATATGTCACACCAGGACTCCATCAAATATTCACAGAAAGACCACTTTGTGCACTGTCACAACCCTGGATCCTCCTCCCATCGTTACTTGCCTGGACTGTTACAGAACCCTTCTGTTTTGGTCTCCTAGCTTCCTAGCCTTGTTTCCCTTATAGGTAGGTTCTAGGTCGACGACTGCCTGTTTGGAGGTAGATGCTCAATTAATATTTGATAAATGAATGAACTTTTGAGTAAATATTCTTCCTGAAGGGTCTTTGAGCACAGGTGTGACTTGACTCTCTGAGCTGGAGGATTATCACACTCAGATTCAGACTGTCTGGGCTTACCGAGGGTTCCTTCCTCTAGCATGTGCCTAATCATCTGTTGTTCTCCTGGGTGGTACTGTGGCCAAGTTTGTATTTAAGCTGGACTTAATGGCAACTTTTTTTTTTTTTTTTGTATGATACCAGACTCATTCCCACCTTATAGTGTCCCCCCCTCCCTGTTGTGTTTCTTCCCATGACAGAATGACAGACTCCATTCATTATCTGGGGCCCTGCTCAAATGTCACCTCCCTAGAGAAGGGTCCCAAGATCTCCATAGCTAAAGGTACAGTTTACCTCTTACCTTTCCATCTCTAGCCTTTTCAACTTTTTTCCTCATCCAAAGCACTTGTCCAGTTGTCTTTGTAGTTATCTTTGTCCTATTGCAGGGAGTCTACAATATTGTAGAACTGAATGGATAGGTTGTGTTGTTTATGGAGACAGAAAACCTAGCTGATTAACTATTTGAAGATTAAGCTTTTTGGTAGACATTGTTTTGGTTATAGTTGAAGGCAAACCAACCTCCGTGACTTCAGTTTTGAGCATGTTGAGTTTAAGTTGTCTGTGACCATCCAAGAGGTAGGTGTTGGGTAGACACCTGGCTGGGTGCATTTGGAGCTCAGTGGTATGTTGGGGCTGGACGTGGTGCAGGCTCTGACAGACTGGCTATGAATCTCAGTTCTGCCACCTCCCAGCTCTACCAGTGACTTGAGTTAAGCCATTGAACATATCTGAGGCTGTGTGTGCATCTGTACGACGGGAATAACATCATCTGTCTCATGAAGTAGGATCAAAGGAGAATGTACAGGAAGTGCTTTTAGCACAAGACTTGGCACAGAGAAGAATGACTTTAATATTAAATGGATTGGGCTGGTTGGGTGCAAGAGTTAACTTTTCAGAACTTACTGTGTGTCAGGTAGGATGCAGAATGCTTTTACATGGGATAGTTTATTACTTCTTAATATTTCTTAGCTAAAATTCTAGCTCCTGTGTTAATACTGCTTTCTCTTTATGACACAGCCCAAAGCTTTCCCAGCAGTCCTTACCCCATCTGTGCCTTCCCTCGTAGTTTCCACCCTTTGAGAGATTGCTGCTGACTCATGCCAACCCAGTATAGGGTTTCTGAGACTGTTGATCTCTATGGGAGCAGAAGGCCGCCTACAGCCCATTGTAGCAAACCTGGATATGTCAGTAGGAAGTGATTTGTGTTAACATTGTTTGATGTGTAGATGTTTGCAGAAACAACTGAACATACTAATACTCTCAGAGGAAACACAGCTATTACATTATTGTCAACAACAAATTGAGAGAAACTCCAAACAGTAGAATTTAGTGTTTTGGGTTTTTTTTTGGCTATTCTGTTTTCAAGTCTAGTTATGGGGTTAATTATCTGCAAGTGTGCGTAACTTTCAGTGGCAGAGGCATCATCTTCCTCTTGGACTAGGGGGGCAACCTAACCGAACATGGCTTCATTAGTGATTGGTTCATTGTGAAGGTTTTTCATGGGAGTAGATGATACTGTTAGGTTAAAATAATATTTTACCTTTAGCATTAGAAACTGTCTCCTTCCTGTCTGAACATGGAAGATGACCCTCTCGGATCATTTCTTCTGATCAGTGTATGTCAGGTACCTTGGAGGGAGGATAAAAGGTTTTGGGAGCCTCTTCCTGTTGTCTGTTTCCTGACGAACGTGGAGAGTGTAAAAGGGGGCAAGGTGGACTTCTGATCTCCTCTAATTTCCCAAGGGGACAGGAGAATCAGCATCAGCCTAAGGCCAAATCCTATGAGGCTGAGGTCAGACATGTCTTCACACGCCAACCTTTCTTTCCAGTTCAGACACCAACCATCTGTCCCACAGCGCCCTCTACTTCACTGGGTTGATAGTCCATTGCAATGGCCACATGGGACACGGAGACAATACTCAAGATTGTGAGGTTTATTAGGGAAGTTCACAGATGACATATAATTCAGGGTCAGAAGTGCTGGGGGCATATTTCCAGTCAGGACAGCCCGAAGCCTGGCCTCTGTCTGGCCCTCAGCCCCTTGGCCTGGCCTCTGCCCTGCTCCAACAATGTTGCAAAGCTCTTTTAGGACTGCTGATAAATGCTCCAAGAGCACTCTATTACATGATAAACGTCAGTCCCAAGGCACTCGGCAGCAGCTCTGAGGCAGCAAAGCTAGCTTCCCCGATTAAGTACTTGGAGACCCCCTGCTCCACAGCTGAGCCTCCTGCCCTGAGACCTTAGGCCAGGAATCCCACTGCTCTTGCTCTGGCTGGGGCTCTGGCTTTCGGTTTTGCTGCTGCCTCTCTTCTGCCGCGTCTCTGACGTCACAGCTTCCCGGACCTGGATTGAGGAGGTTTAGTGTGCATGCTCCTTTCCTGGCTCTTCTTTCGGGTGGTAGTGAGCTCCCCCATTTCTGATTCTGAGATGGCTCATTTTAAACCCTGTTGGTGCTCCAAGTTTTCACTATCACAATTAGCCTGTGAACAATCACTCACAACTGAATCATGTCATCCTATCAGCATCTCCCCACCTTTCCCATTGGGAATAAGTCATTGGGTGGGAGTTACACAGACCGTGGCTAGAAGAAACGTAGTAAATAATTCACTGCCCTGCTGTGAGTTACCTGTTCTAGTAGTAATGGACTTTATAGCTAGACCCCTAGTTCTGTGTAAAAAAACATTTTCTCATCATTAAGGCAATGATTTTGAAAACTCATGTTTATAACGCAAGTGCAAACTAATGTATAAACTCATGTCAGACAAGAATGTGGGAAGATAAAAGCAAATACTGTTGAATGGTGATGCACAGAGGAGATTGTAATCATTGCAATGAAACAATGAGTGTAAAATCGATGTTCTCCCATTAAACTATCACTCAGTTCACAATAAAAACTTAAAGAAACTGATCAGATTTTTTTTTTTTTTTTGAGAGTGTGTTTTGTCCCGCTTTTGAATTTTTTTTTTCTCTCTTCGTTTTAGATGAGAGGAAACCGGTGTGTCGACAAAAGGTTATAGGCATTAGATTCCTTGAACTTGATGTTTCAGAATGGTAGAGAGTCTAGTACTTTATGTATAGATAAAAATCCAACAAATCATTTCCTACTTTGATGGACTTACAAAGTTGTATTTTACAGATGAAATATTTTGTATTTTAAATAAACAGTATAGTATAGCTTTAAATTATATGTTAATGTTGGACTTGGTCTCTCAGAGTAACAGCTACTAATGTGAATCCAACCCATTGCTTTTCTGATAAACTATGAAACTGTGTTTTCTATGTTTCTTTTAATGTAACTTGAGATTGAAAATATTGTGATTAAAAAAATGGATCAGAGTTTTGGGATAAAGCACAGCTGGGTTTTCAAACCGCATCTGATTGTCTCCCTCACTGCCTGCCCTCCTCCCTCCCCAGAATGCCTGATCTGAAGTGATCGCAATGGGATGGTGACTTTTCATTTCTGCGTTACTGTGTAAAGATGAGAGTCACATTAGTTCATATATTTTATTCTATACATAACTTCTTTTTTGAGTAAAAGTCAAAATTAGTGTCTTAACTTTCACAAAGAATTTGTCAAATTTCATACTAAATACCTTAGTTCCTGTGAGATGTGTTTGAGGTATAAGAAAATACATCAAACATTTTTTCAAAATAGGTAGGAAACATTTTAGTTAAAAGCATCTTGTTCAATGAAAGCATTGCATTTTTAGAGTAATCCAAAAAGGAAGCCAGGAATGTTAACTTCTGACTTCGCATCAGAGCGCTGCTTCCTACTCTTTATAGTAAGAGTTCTGGTCCTAAGATGGTCAGAAACACTCCTCGGTAATTAGCGGCTCAAGTGGCTGGGTAGTAGTATGGCAGGTTCCATATTCGATGTGAGAATGTGGGGAACCTGTGCCTTGTGTTTTTGTCTACGAAACTGGAGATAGTGGGTATTTCGTCTTTGTCTGATCTCCTGGGACTTTGCCCTGGGCCTGCAGAATGAACTGAACAGTTTGCTTGCCGCGAACTCTCCAGACCGTCTCGCTGACTTCCCTTGTCAGTGCTACTTAGGAAATCTTTTAGAACTTGCTTGAAGATGTAGACTATTTCCCACGGCAAGACATCATTTTCTGCCAAAACTTCTCGAAACCTAGAGGAAAGCAGTAATGAGTTTACAGTTCAGAACATTGCTTTTGTCTTAGCCCTTTTCCTCCAAAACCCGACTTAAGCTTCGTAGTCACCCACCCTGAGTGATGTGTACACTGTTTTAGAAATAGGCATCTGGTACTGTGCGGTATGGTTTACACGTAACAACATTGTGAGGCTGGCCCAGGACTGGGCAGTGTTGCCTTTTGTGCTGCCAGAGGGTGGCTGTGAGTGGGAACAGACTCAGTGGCACCTAACAGTAACAGTAACAACAACAACAATAATGCAATCCTAGTAATAAAAACCTTAGCCTGTGAGAGGCAACAGATTTTTTTGTCCAAGCTCTTCTGAGAGATTTTGGCTGCTGAGCATTTGGTATGCATTTACAAGATCAGGTGCAGTTTTCAGTCTATCCAGGACCTTAGATTTGACAGGAGACCTGGTGTGGTGCTGTAGGATAAGCATTGGACTGCCAGGGTTGGCAGTTCGAGCTCATCAGCCACTCCGCAGGAGAACTATAAGGCTTTATGCTCCTGCAAAGATTTACAGCCTTGGAAACCCTATACAAGGTTGCTATGCGATGGAACTGACTCAGTAGCTCTAAACAACAGCAAAGCTCACAAGAAAAGAAAATCACATTTTTACCTGCTGAGGATTGTTCCGGTTTGGCAAGGTTGAACTTGTGAGCAAAGAACCTCAAGTTGCCTTTGTTCAGTAGCTGGGATAGTCACATGGGGATTCTGGTGGTTTTTAAGCCAGTTGTAATCCACACCTGTTCTTTTCACTTTCTGTTCATTTTCAATCTCTTGTATGAATCTTTCTCGCTCTTTGAGATGCCACTTTAGTTCGCGAAGCAGCGTCTTTGTCACGATGTCTGAGCCAGAACAGTGTGTGGGCTTGTAGGAGTCAGTTTTTGACCATTTCATCCAGCCAAAAAGTGGCATTTTCAGCCTGTGGAGACAGGCTCACTTGTTTATCTGCATACAATGTTACGGTTCTAATGAATAAATATGGGTCAGTTGCCAGAGATGTCCCTGAGGCTTTTACTGGTTAGCTGGTAGGTCAGGCTCAGTGTGAAGGTTGAAAGACGAGCTTGACTTCTAAGTGGGTCAGTGACAGGGAAAACCTACCCCACCCAACAGCTTTGCAGATACTTTCATGGGGCTAAGCGGTAGTTGAACATACAGAGAGAGAATTGACAGACTGAACAGTTTCTGGAAAGAACTCACCAATACTTGCTATGAAAAGTTCTTATGAGGACTTACAATTTTAATTTGTCAGAAAGTGCTATCCACAAACCCACCTGTGCTGTATGCTCTGTAAAGGAAAAGCTGGAGTGGATGGCTCCGACGTGGGGATGCTGCCAGTTTCTGGAAGTGAGGAGGTTGGGCTCTCCGGGACGTGTCCTCTGTGGAAGGAACCAGCTTCCTGATTTACCACCTGAAGTGGAATTTGAAAGAAATCACTTTCGATGTTAGGAAGGAGGTTGTGATGTCTTCATTTGGAGAGAAGCTCATTAATTCACCTTGTAAGTCAGCTAGAAGAAATCGCAAAAAGAACTTACCATTTAACCTTCACCAATTACATCGTGGGACCTCTGAGGGCTGCTCTGTCTGTCTGAAGAAGGTGCTGGCAGCTAAGGACGCTGGTCCTAAATGCCCCTGGCCACATCTTCAGTGATGAAATGAGGCACGCTCGTTGTGAGTACCCGATGCGCTGCTGGCTAGAGGTAAGACTGTCGCCTGATGTGCTGCTCCGCTGGGCGTAGCTGTAGGTCACAGCTTAGTGCTGTATTTTTATGTCTGGAGAGCTCTAAAAATAACCAGGCTGCTTTTTTTCTTCAGCTGTAACTTTCAGGCCATTTCAAAGCCAGGTCACTATCATTTCTAATGAAAGCAGGAAAAATGGATCAAACTGGATTCTGGGTTTAAAAACCAACAAAAAACACCTCTGAGAAAACACATTGTCATTGAGCAAAATTAAAAAAGGCTAATGCCAGTCATGTGTGAAATGTTACATTCTGTACTCATTTTTTATTTCTAAATGGTACTTAAATTCATCTTTGTAAGCAAGTTGAAATACTAGAAAAATTACAAACACCTAAAAGAGCTCTGGTAGCGTAGTGGTTATGAATCGGGCTACGAACCTTAAGGTCTGCGGTTCAAAACTACCAGCTGCTCTGCGGGAGAAAGATGAGGCTTTCTGCTCCCATAAAGATTTGCAGCCTCGGAAACCCTGTACAGGGTCGCTATGGGTCGGAACCGACTCGACGACACTTAACAAGCAGATACTTTAAAATCTCTTTAGAAGTATGATGATAAGGCAAAAACAGGTAAAGGTCAGAAAAAAAATTCGAGACTTAAGAACATAAAGTTCAAATGAAAATCTTGTAGTTTATTATAGAAAATCATTTTGATGTTTTCTTTTAAAGATGTAGATGAAGTGTTTGTACTTACTATTTGGGAGAATGCTGATGTCTTCTCAGAGTGGTCTTCATTTTTGAGTCAAGTGCTTGTCTTGCTAAAGAGTGGGCCAGGTATAAAAGGTCTCCTCTCGAGTCCTTTGTTAAATGACTGTGGAGTGCGTGATCTTTCCTTTTACCGGATGTGTTCCTCCCACTGCTTCTTCCTTCAGACGAGCTGGGATCTTGCATAGGCGTAAGCGGTGCATGTGGCCACCCTCCACCTTGTGTCACCGATGTGTTGGGAAAAACCAGATGTCAGGACTCATTGTCTTCATCGAGAAGGTTTTGCACTCCGCTGTGTGTGGTGCCATGAAGAAAGAAAGGACTCAAGTTTGTCCTGACAGAGATGTTCTGTCACATTTTCTAGTAAAATTCAAATGAATCCTGCCACTTCCTTTAAACAGCCTCCTCGTTACAGCTTTTCCTGTTTTGCTTCTGAAATGGTAACAGCTATAGTAGACTGTCTTGAGTATGGACCGTGAAGGACATCACCTGCCAGGGCCTGTGCAGCGTGGCCCATCCCACCCTCAGGAGTGCTTCCTCTCTTATTCCTCCCAGGGCCTGTGGGGCGGTCCTTCCACCTTTGGTTAAACTGGCTTCTGAAATGTTTATTCTTTTTTTCTGTGTGTGTCCCCATTTTAGTTCTCTTTTCAGGGTCCCCAGCTCAAATACCAATTTTTTTTTCATATGAGGGAAAACATTAACTTTTTTCTTGGCCTTCCTGTCCCTTTGAACTCTGGAAGACTGGGCTCTGTTTGTGTTTCTCTTAGTTCTTGTGTTCCTCTCCTTCAGATGACTGTCTGCTCTGTCCTCTTCTGGGACCATTTTCAGTCAGTTAGCAGAGATTGACTGAAGGTCAGCATGACCAGGGGACATAGCAGTGGGTGACATAGCCCAGTGTTTGCCTTCAAGGATCCAGCTTTCTAGTGGGAAGACAAAACAGGTCAGAAATCATTCAGTCAGGTAATTATAGATCACTGGGGGGTTATTTGGAGCATGGGTGGCACAGTGGTTAAGGCACTCTGTTGCCAACTAAGAGGTTGGCAGTTTGAACCCACCATCTGCTTAGAGGGAGAAAGATGTGACAGTCCACTTCCATAAAGATTTCTGCTTTGGAAACTATGATAGTTAAAGGGTTTGTGGCAACTTGACTGGGCTAGGATTTTCAGTGGTTTGATAGTTAAGATGTACTAATCTCCCCCACCCCACGAGATCAAATAGACAGTAATTGTTGTCATGTTGGGATCTGCTATGAGCAGCTAGTCAATTGAAAGGAAGTTTCCTCAGTGGTGTGGCCTGCTTCCAGTATATTGGACGCAGACAAAGCTTGCTTGCTTTTTACTGGGTCTGGGTCCTGCATCTGGTTTGTCATCTGACCTCTGTTTCTTTGGACTTGAGCCAGCAGCCTGTCATATTGCCTGTCAATCCTGTGAGTCATCAGCAACCTACCATATTACCTGCTGACTTGGATTCAGTCACATCTCCAGTTAGAAGACTACAACCTCATTATAATATTTGTTCCTGGAAGATAAAGCCTCAGCATTGAAATAATTAGATCATTTTCTTTTTGATCATTGTCATAGTTTTCTTGGTTGCATCTTGTTAGCTGAAGATAAGACTCAAGTGAATAGGGACACATTTTTCATTGTGTGTGTAGGTAAGGATTTAAGATGTGTAAGGAAGTTTATAAGAATCTAAGACGTGTAAGGAAGTACATAAAAAGGTAAGTGTGAAAAAGAATGGGCAAAATGTTGGTGCCTTAAAGGGCAAGCTAAGGCTCTATAGCCTAAGTTAGGCCTGCACTCTTTACATGCTACATCAGGGCCTCACGGAGTATTCAACAGCACTTGATTGCAGTTAGAGGAAGTGTTTTTAGTGTGGGGGGCTCATTCTCCTGTTTTTAATGACTTTACTACTGAACTAAAAGTTACAGTTTGTGTGTGTGTGTGTATGTGTACCAATTAAAGATGAAGTTAGTATTTGAGGAGAAACTATATAGTTAAATTTATTTTCCCAGTATTACTTTATAAGATATTTTCATAAACTAATACATCAACTTTTCAAAGTTAAGAATCTTGGGTTCATACCTTACTGATTGTTGTTGTTAAATGCTGCTGTGTCGATTCTGAGTTATTGCAACCCTATATATGGTTTCCAAGCTTTGGCTGGTGTGTTTGAACCTCTGACCTTGTGGTTAGCAGTCACTGCTTATCCTGTAGCGCCACACCAGGACCCCTATTGATTTATAGACACTATTAATGTATGTGGAGTCTTGGTATGGTGCTATGGATAAGTACTGGACTGCTAACTGCAAGGTCAGCAGTTCAAATACACCAGCCACTCCTGAGAAACTATGAGTTGAAACCGACTGGACAACACTTAACAGCCACACCATTAATGTCCTCCTTTGTTTTGTGTTTCAGGTAGACACTGTTCTTGCTCTTTGACTTTTACAGAAACTTTGGTCATAAGTTTATAATACAGTTACCACACTTATCAGTATCGTTTCTTTTACTTTTTGTGTTATTTAATAAGGCCTTCTCAATGCCCAAAATATCAATTATATGTAAATACTAGTTTTATAGGTTTAAAAAGATGACTTAGGTGTTTGTTTGGAATTGATTTGAGACTGGTGTGAGGTAAGGATTAAGCATCTTTTTCTTTTTCTACTAGATTGGATAGCCAGTATCCAAGGCAAATAGTCCTTGCTCCAACCAGAAGATTTTCCTGTTTTTTTCATAGGCCGCATAGTTTGGGGGTGTATCATGGCCATTGTGAATACTAAGGGGCTCCAGGTCTTGCGTAAATCCTCTAGAAATGGACATCTTTTTGCTTAAGCGGGCAGTTGACCAAGTTGTGTTCAGGCAGCAAGTCTTCTGTGGCTTGTGCTTTCAGCCTCAGTGCAGCTTTCCAAGTCTTTGCTGATTGGATATGAGTGTCCTGGTGAGTGCCCTGAGTTCAGTTCTCAATGTCTGTGTCAGCCTGGGGAGGGCCAGATCCGTGTATGCCCTGCTCAGGCTGTGCCCAGGACTCCAAAACAGCTGGATGGTCATCTGCTTCCTAAGTTCCTTGTTTGAGGCCTCCACCGTGCTTTCTGGTGCCCTGGGCCCACAGGTGGAGAGTTTATTTACCCCGCTCTGCCAGCCAGTTCCCTTAACTGTAAAGGACTTTGTGCACATCCAGCTTCCTATATTGTTTACTGAGTGTACAGATTGAAAAAGTGTGGTGAAAGAATACAACGCTGACGCACACCTTTCCTGATTTTCAGCCATTCACTGTCCTCTTGTTATATTTGAATGACTGCCTCTTGGTCTATGTACAGGTTCTTCATGAGCACAATCGAGTGTTCTGGAATATACATTCTCTGCAATGTTACCTATGGCTTGTCATGATCCAAACAGTCGAAAGCCCTTTGCATAGTCAATAAAGCATGTGTAGGCATTTTTCTAGTATTCTCTGCTTTTAGCCAAGATCCATCTG